GGTTGTAAATCGTGTTTTTAAAAAGTAACTAAGTAACTAAGTAATTAATTACTTTTGAAAATAAGTAATCAGTAAAGTAACAGGATTACTTTTTCGGGAAGTAATCAGTAATTAGTTACTGATTACTTTTTTCAAGTAACTTGACCAACACTGGTGGGGAGTCTAATTATTATATAATAATAATTTATATCAAATATTGAATCATATGAAAATGTAAAATGGATGTATATATGTTTATGTCGACTGTTGGTGGAAGGTTGGAATTTGTAAAACGCGCCTGACAGTAAGGCTGCCAGTTGTCATCAGACAGGAGAGTGAGCGTCGTGGCCTCTACAGGCAAATAAACACCTCTTGGTCTTCCTCACTGTAAATCCAGCCGCTACAAAAGGCAACACAAGTATTAGAATCTTTTAAAAACGTGTTTAAAATCACATTTTCATCTGAAATGTACAACAAGTAGAAGGCTTTAGAAGCCATAAGCTATTCCTTTTTGTTGGGACCAACCAAAGCACGCACACATCCTGTCATGGGAGTGAACGCAGTATGAAAAGGAATCTGCACGTTCGTGTAAATCATGTCAGCCTTCATTGTGTCTGAGCTGAGTCTGGCGGATGCCCCAGGGTGACATTCCTCTGCATCAGGCTGTATGCACTGAAGGATTAAACTGTCATGCTGATGTGCTTTGACCTGCACGTCTCTGTCCTCTTCAATGAGTTCTTACTCACGTGGGAAACATCATCGCTGTCTTAAACGTTGAGTCATTTCTCACAAAAACCCAGAGACAGCTGCTAGCCCATCTGGATATGGCACCGTGACCTGTGCACCTCTGCCAGAGTGGGCTCTATTTTTTACACTGACAGTAACTGTACTTTGGACGGGGGAATATTGATGGTGCTGGGAGGACAGATGACTCAGCCTGCAGCGGGCGCTCAGCGCTCCTGAAGAGAAACACCGGTCGATCGCTCTTTATTTAGACTGTTATCAATCTTATTTGGCACCGAAGCCAAAGCCAGACGGCAGGGGGAGGCTGGCAGCTATTACTCTGTGGGGAGATGCACAGCTGTGCCACTCTGTGAACACTCCACACATACTAATTGCACACGACCAGAGGGACACAAGTCAGGACACATTTCAGAGTGAGTGACAATGTTCCCTCTAATCTTCATCTGCAGTCATGTGACTCCAGAAGAAATGGCCAGTAGCCGTCCTCCAACCTGCACCTGGCCTCGAACCTGCACCTGGCCTCGAACCTGCACCTGGCCTCCACAACATATTGTAGATACCGAGTACTTTTACTGATACAGGTTAGAGAGAGAGTATATCACGAGCTGTTTGCAAATTCTTAACACATTTTATTCCTTTGACCACTAAATCACACAGCAAAATAAAAACCTTCCAGCGTTTTGTGGATTTTGTTGAGACCTGGAATTGAAATGTGCTCGTCTTTAAAGCACTTTCACTCAACGTCTGCTGTTTAAATGTGTTTAAGTCAGACATGGATTTGACAGTCAGTGTAAAAAGGTTCAGATATTGTTTGCAGTTCATGTTTAAGATTTCTATTTTCAGTTCCAATAAACGAATTTATTTGA